TTGCATAGCAGGCGGCAAAACCACTGAGCTAAATCCCCAGCCCAGAAAGAAATAGTTGGGTGTGGTGGTGCACACCTGTAATCCCAGCACTTGGGCGGCTCAGGCAGAAGGATCACTACAGGAACTACATAGCAAGACATTGTCTCAAAAACACAAAACAGACAGGGCTGAGAATGTAGCTCAATGTGAAAGCCTTAGTTCAATTACGAGTTAAAAAAAAAAAAAGACGCCCAAACCAGACACAATTAACAATCAATCCAGTTGCCACCATTGTTATATTCCCCTAAGGGAGACACCTAACTCCACCGGTCTCAGCTAACCAATCTCTGCTGAACAGCTAGCTGCCTGCTGCCGGATGGGGGCACTGCTCAGGAAGACTGGGCGCCCATACTAACAAGTGGAATGGGACTACCAGCTCTCCTGCAGCCCTTCAGTCCCAGCGCAAAAGCTCCTGGTTCAGGCCCGCAAACACAGCAGCATCCAGCCCCAGCCTTATCACCCTCTGCCTCCAAGACCTGCCTGGCCCTGCACTTGAAGACACGTCATATCACACAACCTACATCCCAAATATCCCTGCAACCCTGAAAATCCTATAAGCAAACTGGCCCAGAAATATGCTCAATTATTATGTCATTCAAAAATAAAAATACAGGGCCAGGGATTTAGCTCAGTGGTTTCGCCGCCTGCTGCTCAAGCGCAAGGACCCGAATTCGATCCCCGGTACCAAACAAAATGAAAAATAAAAATAAAAATATAAACCGGGAGTGGTATTGCATGCCTATAATCCCAGCACTGAGGGAGGCTGAAGCAGGATTGCCGCAAGTCTGAGGCCAGTCTGGGCTACCTAGTGAGTTCAAGGCCAGCCTGAACTATAGTGAGACCCTGTCTCAAAAAACAAAAATAAGTAAATAAGTGTAAAAATATAAACTCAGTCCAGTACTGCACATCTGTAATCCAGCACCAAAGAAGCCTGAGGCAGAAGGAACCGAAGTTCAAATCTCACCAGAGTCATTTAGCTAGACCCTCTCTCAAAAAATAAAAAGGGCAGCCAGGCATGGTGGCACACACCTGTAATCCCAGCACTTGGGAGGCTCGGGCAAGAGGATCACTATGAGCTTGAGGCCAGCCTGAACTACATACAGAGACGCTGTCTCAAAAAACCAAAAATAAAACAAAAAGGGCTGGAGATGTAGCTCAGTGGTAGAACACCCCTAGGTTCAATCCCCAGCACTGCAAAGGGCGGAGGGTGCTCAGTGAGACAGTGGAGCTCAGATGCTGAGTCAGCCGCCAGCACCACAGATCTTCAGGTGTGGATGGCCTCCTCCCTCCAGCTCCGCCTCCAGCCTGACCAAATGCTTAGTCCTCCTCCTCCAGACAGTGCCTCTTGCTCCCAGATGGGGCAGGGCCGCTCCTTGCACAAAGGTCCTGCCCGCAAGCTGGTCCAACTCACCTACCAGCCAGTGAACTGGGGCAGAATGACATCGCTCAAAATTCCATGTGCAATGACACTTGCATAATGTCCACCAAACTTTTTTTTTCTAGTACTGGAGTTTGAGCCCAGGCCCTTCACTCTGAGTATATTCTGGAGCCATTTTTATTTTGAGACAGGGCCTCAGTAAGTTACCCAGGCTGGGTTCAAACTTGCAGTCCTCCTGTCTCAGACTCCCAGAGTGCTGGGATTAAGTGTGTGCCCCTTCACCTGGCTCCCACCAAATTTCAATGTCTCCTTCACATACGAAAGATTTTTCCTGTTTAAGAAACTCCTAAGAGGGCCAGGAATGTAGCTCAGTGGCACAGTGCCTGCCTGGCAAGTGCGAGGCCCTGAGTCTGATTCCCAGTACCAAGAAAAAGAAAAAAGAAACACCTAAGCACACAAAAAAAGTACCAACCAAAAGCTCATAAGCACACTCAGTGATTGTATCTACAGCCAGACCTGGCCACTTTGCCAGTCTTACTCACACTCAGCAGGATCAGTGACTGCTTCTACCTGCCTGACCTCTGCAGCTGCATAACTTAGAGCCCTGACCCAAGTCCCCTTTTCGAACCCACTGGCTTATCAAGCAAACTACTGTGACAATCCAATGTCCCTGATTTGTTTATGCCTCAGTTTCTCATCACTTCCTTGCTCAGAAACGTTCAACTGGCTCCTTTCTCATTATCTACAACTCAAACTATTTAGCTTTGCATGGCAGGACCTCACGCAGTGTCCCCTGGAAATCTCCAGTTTTACATCCAACCCCTCCCCTTAAACCCATCTTTCAGGAACTGTACCGACACCCTTCTTTCCTGTGCTGACTCTTTACCTGGACCTTTTCATTTTCTCCCTTTTGTTTTTCTTTTTTGTTTCTGAGACAGGGTCTTCCTATGTACTTGAGGCCCCCTCAAACTCTATGTAGTCTAGGCTTGCCTCTGACTTTGCGTCCTCCTGCTTCAGCTTCTGAGTCCTGGGATTACAGGCAAGAACATCTTTTTCGTTGTTATTTTTTTGCTTTTTCAGCAGAGGTTTATTTTGGCCCACAGTTTGTAGAGGCTTCAGTGGGCTGCTTGGCATAAACATCTTAATCCCCCTAACCAAGGCAAAGTGTTTTTATCATTTTCCCCCCAAATTCTGTAATGGGCAAGGAACAAGCACTCAGTTATTAAATGAATTAATTTATTTCAGGGCCGGGGATGTAGCTCAGTGGTTCCCCTGCCTGCCTGGCAAGCGCAAGGTCCTGAGTTCGATCCCCAGTACAAAAAAAAAAAAATATTCTAGTCGATAATAACTTAATTCAAACCGGAATCCTCTCAGTAATTCTGTACAATATCATTCATTACATCACACTGGGATATGCGCGGGAACAATATTGGTGCCCTGTGAGTGAAAATTGGTTCTTGGGCTGGGGATTTAGCTCAGTGGTTTCGCTGCCTGCTGCGCAGGCGCCAGGACCTGAGTTCGCTCTCCGGTACCAAAAAAAAAAGAAAATTGGTTCTTAAGAAGGCTTGTTAGGGCTGGGGATGTAGCTCAGTGGCGCTGCACCTGCCTGGCAATCCCAAGGTCTTCAGTTCAATTGCCGGTACCGAAAAAAAAAAAAGAAAGAAAAAGAAAAACAAATTAATAAAAAATTTAAAAATAAAAGCATTTAAAGAAAGGTCTCTTGGATAGTGATGCACATGCTTGAAATCCCAGGATCCGAGAGGCTGAGGGAGAAGGATCGCCACGAGTTAGGGGCCATCCTGGGCTACACAGTGAGCACAAGGCCAACCTGGACTACAGAGGGAGACCCTGTCTCAAAAAACAAAGGACAGAAGCCTTTGGAACTGCACGTGGCCAAGTATGTATGCAGTACATGTGCACCTGTTACTGAAACCTCGGGGTGGGTGTTTTCTAGGTTGGGCGGGGTGACCGTGAACAAGGCTGAGAAGCCTGAGCCTGATCGTATGGGTCCCTCTGGGACCCGTGGGATCAGGCTGCCTGGGTTCCGACTCACTAGCGGGACTACACCAGCCCGGTGGCCAGGCCCTGAGGCACCTTCACGCCTCCTCAGAGTGTTAGCTCTGCTCCGCCAGGCCGTGCACCGCGCACCCACGGGGCTGAGTGTCCACCCGGGTATCGCACTCATGTGCCCTTCAGTAGCTGCTGGGCGCGGGTGGGCTTCAGATCTGAGGTCTCTCTTCTATGAAATAGGGGCGTGGATGCCCCACTTTTGGGGGCTCTGGAGACAGGATTCCGTGACGGAGCTCAGCCGGGCACAGCATAAGAGAAGCGCTGCCCTGGACTCCCGGGCCCAGGAGGACGCGCCGACCGCGGTCCCGAGGGCCCGGCCCTACCTGAGTCGCCACCCGCGCTGTGACCCTGCGTGTCAGCCTCCGAGGGCACGATCGGAGGCGGCCGCAGGGCCTGGGCGTCGCCCGGGAGCTCGGGCTCCGTGGGGTCCATGGCGGCGGGGCTCCTCGCAGACCTAACGTGTGGCGGGGTGCAGGAGCAGCAGCGAGACTCCCATTTCTACACCCGCACCACCAGAAGGAACCGCGGGGCTCCTGCCGCAGCGCGACCCTTGGGAGCATGCGCGACTCTCCGAGCCGCGGGCTTTGGGCAAAGCGCATGTGCATATTTTCCCACTGCACGTTCATTGGTGGAGTGTTTCATCAGCCTCCCCAGGAATTTTCTACCTATAATTCTCTGTGCTCTCTGTCCTTTCTGAATGCGCATGCGCCAGATATACTCCCGCCCCGAAATCCCGTGGGCCTCTGCGGGGTGGTATTTAAGTACCTCGCGGATGCTCGTACAGTCTCGTTTTTCTGTAGCTGGTGGTAAGTGTGTTGGTCATGGGGTTTCTTGGTCTTCTGCTTAACTTTAAAGGAACTCACGAGCGTTTCGCGCTGTAGGGTTTCTTCGTGGTACCCATTTGGTTGCCACGGAGAAGAGCTAATGCAGGTCCTTGACTTGGAAGCCACGGCGGGACGTGAAGGACAAAATGGCCGTCGCGGTGGCGGGCGGTGTGCATGTGGCCGCCCCTGTGATGAGGACCTCACAGACCTGTGCTGACCTCCGTGAGGATGACTCTCTCTGAGGGGACGGCAGTGGCCCGCTCAGCCGCCGCGCAGGAAATCCCCGGTGTTAATCTGTTGTCTGTCTGCAGGGTTGGGCCCGCGTTTGAACACTGGAGCCGGAGACACCCCCACCACCCCGTCCCGGGGTAAGTGCCGTGGGTTTCGCATTCCCTGACTCTACAAAGCCTCTAGGATGTGCTTCGGGGATGATTTAAGAACTGAACTCTCTCTTTCTGATGGCTCAGTGGAGAAAGCAGAAGTTCTGAGTAGCATCATCTGCAGCAGATTTCTGGACTTTATCTCTTCAAACTGAGGTGTTAAAGGGTGCTTTCTTTTCAGATATATTTCAGCTCAAAAGAGCTCCCTGCTTGAAGAATGAAAAAAGACCCATCCTTCTGCACAAGGAGTGTCCCAGCTCCTGGAGCACTGCTCCAGGTTTGTGCGCTGTTTGTGTCGTAGTGGGAAGGAGAGACTTTAGAGGACACTCCATGATGAACAAACGACAAGCATATGGCTGAGTCCTGAATGATGTCATCTTAACTCTGAGAAGTGGGCCATAGCTATAGAGAAAATTTTAAATGATCTATTCTTATGTATGAACAATGCCCTTTTCTGTCTCCAGTATCTCAAAACCAGTCCTGAGGAGTTCAGTTACTGCCCAAGATGAATACAGGTAATTTTCCAAAGAGGGCTTGGATCATTTCATCCCAGGAGTGTAAAACACTTTATCATAAGGGTCAGGAGAGCACTGTTGCCGTTGCTTTGCTCCTTCCACCTTGTTCTTGAAATGATTATTTGGAGAAAGTGGCCCAATAGCACAGTTGATTCTTGTAATGGTGTGCTCTTCTGTCATCCGCATCACTGTCAGATGATTTGAATCAATAAACTGATGCTCCGTGAAGTATGACGGTTATAGCATGTTAGAGTTCTGATGGCAGTTGTTGATGAAGAAATGCTTTTTTGTCCTTAACACTTCAAAGTAATCTTTTATTTCCCCTTTCCCAGGTTGTCATGATACTTTTCTCTAAAGGTAAGATGTTTACTTTGGTTTTTGTTATAAATATAAATTATCCATGGAACAACAAATCCTTGATCCAGGCACAGCTTTTCTGCTTTTTCCTGTTACCTGTAGTGATGTTTATTGCTCGCCCCTTATTTCTTGGATGCCAGCTGGTCCCAAGACTCCCAACTCTTGGAAAGAGTTGAAAGTGTTGAGTACTTGCCAACTGTAGCCTGCTGGACTTCAGTGGCAGTGAGGAGCAAGTATCCTCCTGTCTGGTCCCAGAGCCAGTTATGATGCACCCACTGGGGTTACAGAGAAAGAAGATGAAAATGTTCTGTAAAAAGCTGTCTAGTGTAGCAAATGTGTCTACACCTATCATGTTTAGCTTTAACTCATCCAGTAACAATGGCTAGTGTGCTGCTTTGCTATTTGAGATGCTTTGCTAATAAATAATTCTCTGATTCAGGAGCGGGTTGTTCCTGTATTCCACTGGAAATCTTCCAACATTGAGGTTAGTTGCAGGTTTTTTGTTTTTATCTCACCAACTAGGCAGTTTCCATGATGAATTAAACTAGCTCACTATGACCGGCGATGAAAACACATGAACACCTGAGAAACTGGGAGGCATGGGAGTGGAGAGGAATACAGGTTGGGAGGAACTTTGCAACCAACTACAGTTTCGTATTTTCTGCAGGCACTATTACTCCCAGCAAACTGCTTGGTTTAAAGGTGAGTGATTTTGGTGTATGTTAAATGTGTGTCACGTGTTGGGTTAAAATGCCTCTTGAGGGCTGTGTATGATGACTTACATGGAATCTCGTTCGGCTGATGACTTGCTGTTGAGACGTGGAAATCTGATTTTTCTAGGGATAATTATTTAGGTGACTATATTGCATGTAAACATTATTGATTGGATCTTGTACATTTCAGATCCAGCATCTTATTTGGAGGTCAGGAATGATTTCAGGTAAAGATCTTTGTAATGCTGTCATACAAAATCTGTGGCTCTTACATGGGTGTGGTGGCACTTCTGGTCTACGTGGCCAGCTTTGAACTAATGAATTACTACTGCTCACCAGTGATGAATTGAATACCGCCCCAGTCTGATCACCATGACAGAAAGGTATTTTCTGAGTTGAGCACTTTAGTAACAAGAGAAAGTTAACCAATAGGCTTTGTAGCCAGTATTTGAGGGATATATGCATGCCTTGAAACTATTCTATACTATGTATGTTCATTTTCTCTAACCAATAGTAATAGCTGAGATTTCAAGCAAATGTTTTTGTTGGTTTTTGCGGGGGGGGGGGGGTACCAGGGATTGAACTCAGGTCCTTGCGCTTGTGCAGCAGGCGACGAAACCACTGAGCTAAATCCCCAGCCCTGTTTTTGTTTTTTGAGACAGTGTCTGACCATAGTTAAAGCTGGTCTGGAATTCCCAGTGATCCTCCTGCCTTAGCCACCTGAATGCTAAGATTACAGGGGTACAGCAACCATTATGCCCAGCTGCAAACCACGTTAACTCTGCTCCAAGCCAAAGTGAAAGGTGAGTGCTCATGACTGTAAGGTGAATTAAGCTAAAATTTCCCAGTGATGAGACATTCACACGTCTTACTTCCAGTCCTAGCCCCAGAGCCTGTAAAGGTGAACCCACTGGGGCCAGCTAGGGGAGGAGAAGAAAATTTGTTCCAGAAGGAACTGTCTGAGGGATCAAACATTTTCTTTATGCAAGGAAGGAAAAATCTCATTAGTTGCTGAAACATGATTGGTTTGTTTTTTTCCAGGTCTCAGGAAAAGACATGGTAAATGGAAGTGGTAGGTATCTGTTCAAATGTTTGTGTCTAGTATTCTAATACATAACTGACAGATTCAGTGCTGCCTAAAAGCAACACATTTTGTTGGCTGATCTGAGGCGTGGCCCTTGTAAGTAATTGCGGACATTAGTGCCTTTCCAGTAAAGGACTTTTCCTCTGATAGGAATCCCAGCCTCAAGAATGACAAGGTCTAGCTTTTGAACTCAGCATGCAGTCACTTCCATCCCAGTAATAAAAGCTGTTTTCTCACCTGCTGTGTTGTCCTTGCTTTGGGGTGGTTCCTGGGCACTGGCTGGGAGTGAGCTGAGACTTCACTCTTGGGAGCTTGGTCCAACTTTCCATAGCAGTTTGTAGTGGTGCCTTCTCCCAGCCCAAGGACACAGCAGACATGGCATTAAAGGAACCCTGGCCCTAAGACACCCCCCTTTCACCTTGCACATGTACATGAACCCTAATATGGTATCGTATAGTGATTGGACTTTTGGTACTGGGGACTGAACTTGGCGCTTGGGAGGCAGGCAAGGGTAAAACCACTGAGCTAAATCCCCGGCCCTGGACTTAGAGCCCAAGTTTTTCCGTAATGCATTTTGAGCCTTGTACACTCTCATCCCAGCACTGGGAGCCTCAGGCAAGTTCAAGGGCCTAGGCAGTTTGACACAACCTAGTCTCAGTGGTCTGTGGGGTAGACCTTCAGTCACATTTTCTCCCCCATCCCCAACCAGAGACAGAATGGAAAAGGATAGAGGCAGAGTGAGTCCTGCCACCTCATTGCCTGTGCATGGCTTAATGTCCGTAGCCTATCCATCCCACCGTGAGGTGGCCCAGCACCATTATAGCCACTGCAGTGTACTCACCAAAAAAGGTGCCCTTTTACTGCTGCTGGCTTCCTCCTAGAGGGAGAGCCAATGAGGGTCATTTGTCATGAATGGTTCTTTACCAGGTGTGATTTTTGTCCTACCTGTCGGCATTTCTGGCTGTCCTAGTTTAAGGGAGATTACCAATAGGTACCCGAGGCCCCAGATGCAGTTACACTCTGGATCCCCAAACTCCTTCCACCCAGAACAATGAATTGCCAGGCTAGGCTCCAGTCAGGCTGCTGGGTTTGGGACTGCCACGTCCCCATCCCCAACTGCTGTTTTCTGTGTCATCTGTCACAAGGGCTAGGGATGATCGAAGCATGTTACATGTATGTCCCAGTCTGCTTACAGGAAACTCAATATGTAGAGCTGGCTTTTTTTCCTCAGTACCATGGGTCAAACTCCAGACCTTGTACTTTGAAGGCAGGCGAGGTGCCACTGACCTAAATCCCTGGCCTTTAGAGCCAACTTTTTTCTTTTAAATTCTTTTATTGGTACATTTTAGGTATACAATACGTTTACATTTATCATTAGGTGCTTGTACCTGTATGTGATGTATCTTGGTTCTTATTTTTTCCCCATTACCTGTGCGCCCTTCACCCCCTCCGCCCTTCCCTATTTACAAAGACTTTGTTTCCCATTTTTTCCTTTTCTCATTTTTCCTTTCCCTTCTTTCCTTTCCCCTTCCCCTCCCACCACCCCTACCCCTTTGGACCTTTTCTTCTACTTCAAGTAGTCAATTATTTGTTTTAGTCATTTTAATCCTTATTTACACTTTCAGTTTCTCATTAGAGAAACTTCTGTATTTACACATGTGTGTCCTATTTCACTTAAGAGGATGGCCTCTATTCATCCATTTAGCAATAAATGGCTCTAGTTTCTCATTCTTTATGGCTGAGTAGAACTCCATTTTATAAAAAAAAAAACTCATCTTTATCCAGTTTCCAGTTGATGGGCATTTGGGCTGCTTCCAAGCTTTAGCTATTACAAACTGTGCCACTATGAACATGGGTGCACATATATCGCTGTGGTATGATTCTTTTCTTTGGGAAGATAACCAGCAGGGGAATAGCTGGGTCAAATGGGACCTCTAGCACTAGTTCTTTGAGCTTAGAGCCAACTTTTAAAAGGCAAAAGTAAGTCACAGGAGGGGGGCTGGTGAGAGAGACCCTTGAAAGCAGGTGGTGGTCACATCCTGAATGATGAAGCCCAAGGCAGGGCAGCGGCTTCTGGAACAGCACAGCTGTGCCACAGGACTTCAGATCTGCATGCCAGGACTTCTGGACCCCCACTTTCTGGCCCCTCCTAGTCCTTGTGACTCCACTTCTGTGTCTCTCAAGGTTATGTTACTGCAGCCACAGCAAAATGATACAAGAACTTTGAAAGTTTTGAGTTTTGTTTTCTTGTTCAAGACCGAATTATTTCTTTAGATAAAACAGTGTTCACCAGTAAACTAGCATTGATCCACACCTGTAATCCCAGCACTCCAGCACTTTGGAGGTCGAGGCAGAAGGATCACAAGCCTGAGTCTATCCTGGGCTACATAGTGAGCACAAGGCCAGCCTGAACTATATACCCTGTCTCAAAAAAACCAAAATGTAAACAACGAAAAAAGTTCTAAACACCAAGGTCAACCAGGGATTTCAACTTCATGTTGTGTTGGGTTTTAGAATTCATAAAAAGAGACAAAAGTACCATTTTTTAAAAACAGCTTAATGAGTTAAGAGGTATACTGTGGGGCAGGAGATCAGCTATCGCTTTTTATCAGGAGCTTGTTTTTCCCACTACTGGGTATTAAACCCAGAGCCTTTGAACCGCACCACAGCCCAAGACTTTTATTACCCTTTTGAGACAAGGTCTTGCTAAGTTGCCCAGATGGGCTCGAACTTGGCATCCTCAGCCTCCCACATCAGAATATGGGATTACAAAAATATATACATAGGATTATAGCCAGGCATACACCACCGTTCCAGGCTTGTTATAATAAATCTTTTTATATTACTTGACAATTTAAGGTATAGTGGTACCTTGGTTCATGATCTTAATTCTTTCCATGATTCTGGCTGCAATCCGAATTGGAGTAGAACCAAAGCAAATTCAGTGGTTAGGTTCAACGTTGACTTTATGGGGAAATTTGATTTAGTTCTTGTCCAATTCAGTTTGCGACCAGAATCATGGAAAGAATTAAGTTCATGAACCAAGGTCCCACTGTATCTGTTTCATTAAAAAAAAAAAA